ACCCCAGCACGACCATACCCCAGCACGACCCATACCCCAGCAAGACCACACCCCAGCACGACCACACCCCAGCACGACCTCACCACAGCACGACCACACCCCAGCACGACCACGCCCCAGCACGACCACGCCCCAGCACGACCACGCCCCAGCACGACCACCCCCCAGCACGACCACCACCCCAGCACGACCACCCCCCAGCACGACCACCCCCCAGCACGACCACACCCCAGCACGACCACACCCCAGCACGACCACACCCCAGCACGACCACACCCCAGCACGACCACACCCCAGCACGACCCGATCGATAAATCACAGGGTGCGGACCACCCCAGCACGACCACACCCCAGCAAGACCACACCCCAGCACGACCACACCCCAGCACGACCTCACCACAGCACGACCACACCCCAGCACGACCACGCCCCAGCACGACCATGCCCCAGCACGATCACGCCCCAGCACGACCACCCCCCAGCACGACCACCCCCCCAGCACGACCGACACCCCAGCACGACCCACCCCTGCAGACTACACCCCAGCAGCACCCCCACCCCCGCAAGACCACACCCCCACGACCACACCCCGACCTCGACCACAGCACGAACCACCACCCCAGCACGACCACGCCCCAGCACGACCACGCCCCAGCACGACCACCCCCCAGCACACCACCCCCTAGCACGACCACACCCCAGCACGACCACACCCCAGCACGACCACACCCCAGCACGACCACACCCAACACGACCATACCCACACGACCACACCCAGCACGACCACACCCAGTCGCACCCCCGTGGAATGTTTCGTGGGGTGTCTGGTTGAGTGGTTGCCTGTTCGTGGGGTGTCTCGTGGAATGTTTCACGGTGTGTCTCGTGGAATGTTTCGTGAGGTGTCTCGTGGGTTGTTTCGTGAGGTGTCTCCTGGGATGTTTCGCGGGGTGTCTCGTGGGATGTTTCGTGAGGTGTCGCCCAGTTGGATATCGTGAAAACGTGACCATGCTGCACATGTCTATATCCCTTTCCGGGTTCGTGGGTCCATCATGTCCCGGAAAGGGCTTAGGCCCAGGGTTCTCTTTTAGCTGTTTACCCCCGGGTCTGACTTGAGGTGGGCCGGCGGATTTATTCCTTGATAAATATCGAGGTCGAGGTGGGCCGGCGGAATTATTTAATCGCTTCGCTCATTCCGCCGGCCCATACAGTCTCATGTCTGCCGTTTGCCCGAGGGCCTGGTGTCAATGCGGCGCTTTGGGGGTTCCTGGGGCCGCTTGGGGGACTCCTGGGGCGCTCGGGGGGGCATTTGGGGGGCCTCCTGGGGCCGCTTGGGGGACTCTTGGGGGCCTCCTGAGGGCCCTCGTGGGGGCCTCTTGGGGCCTCTTAGGGGCCTCTTGGGGCCTCGTAGGGGCTTCATAGGGCCGAGGGCTCGAAATGTTGTTTCGTGTTCCCTCTCTGGGGCCCCTTTGGGGGCGTTCTTGGGGCCCTCTTGGACCGTTTTGGAGGCTTCTTGGGCCGTCTTCGAGCCCTCTTGGGCCATCTTGGGGCCCTCTTGGGTGCCTCTTGGGCCCTCTTGGGGCGATCTTGGGGGCCTCTTGGGCCGTCTTGGGGCGTCGGGAAGCCGAAAAGGTGGAAGCTCCAAAATCTCTCAAAAACCTATGGAAAAACAATGATTTTTGCCTCCGGGGGCCCTATTGGGAGTGCTCTTGGAGGCCTCTTGGGGCGTCTGGGGGCTATCTTGGGCGTCTTGGAGCGATCTTGTGGCATGTCGGACCCCTCGTGTACCATCTTGGGGGCCTCTTGGGGGCCTCTTGGCCTTTCTTGGGGCTCTCGGGGACGTCTCGGAGCCCTGTTGGTGCGCTCATGGAGCGCTCGGGGGGACCCGGCCGGGGACCCGGCCGGGACCCGGCCGGGGACCGGCCGGGACCTGGTCGGGGTACTTTTCGTCCGGGGACCCCCAGGGGCCGCCCCGCGCGCGCGAACTAGAAAATTGTTAACCAGTTACCGGAGATCTTAGCACGCCTCTGGCCCGTTGGGCCGGCGAATTTTTGAGGATGTCTCTAGCAAAACGCTTGTTCTTCAGAACTTGTTGAGGATGTCTCGAGCGAAACGCTTGTTTTGGGTTAAATATTGTCCTCTCCTGGGGGCCCGAATTCAGAGGATCTCTCAAGTGAAATGCTTGTTTTCACGTGCCCAGGTCTTGAGGATGTCTCGAGCGAGACGCTTGGTTTCACGCCTCCAGGTGGCCCAGACAGATGTCTAGCATGAGGCTTTGTTGAGGATTTCTCGAACAAGAGGCTTGTTTTCACGTGTCCAGGTCGCCCAGGCGGATGTCTAGCATGAGGATGTGTCGAGGAAGTCTCGATCGAGACGCTTGTTTGCACGTGTCCAGGTTGCCCAGGCGGATGTCTAGCGTGAGGATGTGCTGAGAACGTCTTGAGCGAAACGCGTGTTTTCACGTGTCCAGGTCGCCCAGGCACAGCACAGCCCTCGGCACGGTACATCAATATCGATACCCTTAGCATTGCAGCCTGGCATGTTGCCTGGCACGTTCCGCGGAGCGTCCCGTGGCGAGTCCCCCTGGCACGTCGCGCGGTGCACGTCCCGTGGCACGTTCCGTAGCGCGTCCCCTTGGGACGTCCCGCGGTGCGTGCCCGTGGCATGTCTCCTGGCACGTCGCCTGGCGCGTCCCTTGGGACGTTCCGCGGCGCGTCCTCCTGGCATGTCCCCCTGTCGATTAATTCTGGGGCAGCTACCATCTGCTCAGGCAGCTCGAGCTTAAGATCCAGATCAGTTCGATCAGGACTCGGATGCAAAGAGGACTCGATCCACAACGTTAAATCGAGCACAATCGCGGCATGTCACATCGCAGTTCAGCACGGCCAGCACAGCGCAGCCGTCGGCACGGTACATCAAGATCGATACATTCAACATTGCATCTTGGCACGTTCTTTGGCGCGTTCCTTGGCGAGTCTACCTGGCACGTCGCGCGGCGCGTCCCCTGGCACGTCCCGCGGCACGTCCACTGGCACGTTCCGTAGCGCGTCCCCTTGGCACGTCCCGCGGTGCATGCACATGCCACGTCCCCTGGCACGCCGCCTGGCGCGTCCCTTGGGACGTTCCGCGGCGCGTCCTCCTGGCATGTCCCCTCTGTCGATTAGTTCTGGGACAGCTACCATCTGCTCAGGCAGCTCGAACTCAAGATCCAGATCAGTTCGGTCAGGACTCGGATGCCAGGGAGGACTCGATCCACAACGCTGTATAGAGCACAATCGCGGCATGGAACATCGCAGTTCAGCACGGCCAGCACAGCACAGCTCTCGGCACAGTACCTCAAGATCTGTACATTCAGCACTGCATTTGCCCGTCGCCCAATCAAGTGTCTTTGAAACGTTGCCATGCCTTACATTTCTATATTCCTTTCCGGGTTCGTGGGTCGATCATGTTTTTTCCCGGAAAAGGCGCCGGCCCAGGGTTCTCTTTTAGTTGGTAAGCCTGTCCCCGGTGCCTCAACTCAGGTGGGCCAGCGTATTCTTTCCCTTATAAATATCGAGGTCGAGGTGGGCTGGCGGATTAAAATTTGAGGATGTCTCAGGTGAAACGCTTGTTTTTGAAATCCCGATCGATAAATCACAGGGTGCGGGCCACTCTTTCGTGTGTTGAGGATGTCTCGAGCGAAACGCTTGCTCCGCAGAGTTACCGAGGATGTCTCGAGCGAATCGCTTGTTTTGTAGAACTTGAGGGATCTGGGCGCCCCAGGGATTTGCCTTCTCCAGGTGCACGAACCCGTGTGTTTTTACGTATGTGCCTGTAGATTTGCCCTCTCCAGGTGCATGAATCCATGTGCTTTTACGTATGTGCGTATAGATTTGATTTCTCCAGGGGCGCGAATCCGTGAGTTTTGACGTATGTGCCTACAGATTTGCCTTATGGGGCGCGATGCACAATACGGTGTCGTGAAAACGTTTCCATGCATGCGGTTCTATATCTCTTTCCGGGTTCGTGGGTCCATCATGTTTGTGTTTGTGTGTGTGTGTGTGTGTGTGTGTATGTTGTGTGTGTGTATATGTATGTCTGTATGTCTGTGTGTCTGTGTGTCTGTGTGTGTGTGTGTGTGTGTGTGTTTAAGCAGCGAGAAACATATCGTCAGACCACCTTAGCACCAAAGGGCTGGAGGGGCTTCTCAGAAGGCCGGGTGCCGTCTGTCCTTCCTGAGACGGCCCTCCCCCCCTAGGCGCGCGTCGCCGATTCCTCCCTGCGCTGAGGCAAGGACCGCTTCGGGTCGAGGAGGGGCTGTGGTATGCGGCTCGTTCCTTGGATCCAGATCGTGAGGAGGAGGAGGAGGAGGAGGAGGAGGAGGAGGAGGGGGAGGAGGAGGAGGAGGATGAGGAGGAGGAGGAGGAGGCGGAGGAGGCGGAGGAGGAGGAGGAGGAGGTGGCGGAGGAGGAGGAGGAGGAGGAGGAGGAGTAGGAGGAGGAGGCGGAGTAGGAGGAGGCGGAGTAGGAGGAGGAGGCGGAGGAGGAGGAAGAGGAGGAGGAGGAGGCCTCTGGGTCACCCGTTGGGGCGCGAAGACGCCCTCGGTATCGTTTTACCGATTCCCCCTTACCGCCGGGCCATGGTATATCAGCCCCACCATCACACCGCCCCAGTTGGGATGTGCCCCTCGAAACGCGACCGAAGGGCACGGCCTATATTCCCTATCAAGGGGGATACATCGGCCAGTGGGGCCCAGGCCACGCCAGTGGGGGCAGGAATCGGTTCAACGATGCTCATAAAGGCGCTTCGCACGTTGCGGTCTGGGTCAGCGCGGTTGCCCTTCTCCAAGGTGGTGGCCCGAGGGCGCGAGGGCGCGAGTTCGTCACAGTGTATCTGACGAGGCCGTCGACTTGCTTTGCACAGACCTCTTGCATTCATGACGTTGTGCCGCTGTCCATTCGCCCAGTTATTGCGTTGACCAGCTGCGATGTCTTCCGCAGCCAGCGCCGCCGCGTGTCTGGGAGGCAAACCTGAGGGAGGACCCGTTCATGACTCATGGGCAGTTCGCTTCGCAGGAGCCGCAGCTGGAGCTGCCGAGGGAGAGAGAGAGAGAGAGAGAAGCCACCGAGAGAGACAGAGAGTGACGGAGAGAGGCGAGGGCGACGGTACCAGACGGAGGGCGAGCGGGAAGGAGGAGGAGGAGGAGGAGGAGGAGGAGGCGGAGGAGGAGGCGGAGGCGGAGGCGGAGGCGGAGGCGGAGGAGGCGGAGGCGGAGGAGGAGGAGGACCACTGTAAACCCAAGACGAATCAGCGATGTTGCAATGCACCCTCCTCCAGGTTCGCCCATCAGAGGTGCCTACAAGAATACAAGAAAGCACCCAGTGGCCTTGGGCCCATGCTGCCACCGTTCCAGGCTTTTAGGGCAGAGGCCTCTGGGATGCCTGTGGGGATCTCTTGGGAGGCCTCCTCTCGGACGCCTCTCGGACTCAGTTTTGGGGTACGTCGGGGGCCTCTCGGGGGTCTCTTGGGGCCTGATTCGGGTCTTTGGGGGGCCTCCTGGGGCTTGTGGGGGGCCACTCGGGTGCCTGCTGGCGGTCTCGATGGCCATCTTGAGGCAACTTGCTCGAAATGTCAGTTCGTGTTCCCCTCTGGGGTCTCTCTTGGGCCCCCTCCTATTTGGCCTTCTTGGGGGCCTCTGGGCCGCCTTGGGGCCGTCTTGGGTCGTCTGGGCGTGCTCTTGGGGTCTTGGGGCGTCTTGGGGCCCTTGGGTTGGGCTGCCTGTGGGGCATCTTGGGCGTCTTGGAGCGGTATTTGGACGACTCGGGGCCATCTCGTCTTGGGGATCTCTTGGGGCCCTCTTGAGGAGTCATAAGGGTCCCTCGGGCCTCTGAAACAGTTCGCCGGGAAGAAGGAGAGCGCGCGGGAGCGCTTGGAAGATTTCAGATTTTGGGCATTATCTTCTTAATTCAATTTTTCCAATATCGAATGCAGGGTACCCTGAGGAACACTCCACTTCGTGCCTCGAGGCACGGTGGCGGATTTACTGTGCGGGAAATGCCCCATTGGAAGACAGCCGTCTGAATCCCCAATCATGTCAAAACACCATTCCTGGAACTTCAACGCCGCGAATCAACGTGACAGTTGCGTCCCGACGAAAGTTGCGTCCCGAGATTTTGTTCATCGTGCCAGAATGCAATTTCTAGGACTTCAGCTACACGAATTCTCGAATTGTTGCAATCTTTTCCGACCAGTGTGCACTGCGTTGGGGTGAACACCGCATTTTGAGAAGTAACCGCGCTCCACCTTTGCACCGGCGGAAAACTGTTGAGACTGATGTGCGGCGCCAGGGCGAGGTCCACATTTCGAAAACCACCTGCCCTCCATCCTTGAAACTGTTGCAAACATAAAAGTTGAATGAGCGCTCCACCCTTGAAGCTGATTCAAATTTCTAGGACGAATGTGCGCAGCGCTGAGGCGAAGGCGACTTGTTGAAAACCACCCGTCATCCATCGTTAACGGTTGAAAATTTCAATCTAGAGATTCAGGAATTATGGTGTAGTCAACACGCTTGTAGTCAACAACAAAAATCGCTTGGGGGTGTGACAGGGAGGAATTATTGCGAAGGCCTTACGGCCAGTGCCGCCGACCCTGAAGTGTGACGACGACGACAACGGCGGCGACGGCGGCGATGACGACGACGCTGACGTGGGCCATAGTCCTGAGGGATGTTTCTTGGGGTCTCCTCGGAGGGCTCTCGGGGGCCTCTGGGGACGAATGTTGGGGCCTCTTGGGAGCCTCTTGGGGGCCTCTTGGGAGCCTCTTGGCGGCCTCTTCGGACTTCCTGGGGACCTTTTGTGGGCCTATTGGGACCTCTTTGGAACCTCTTGGGGCATCCTGGGAGCCTCTAGGGCCGAGGGCCCAACTGTCTGTTCGGGTCCCCCGTCTGGGCACGCTCTTGGAGCCGTCTTGGGGGCCTCTTGGGCCGTCTTGGAGCCGTTTTGGGCTGTCTTGGGGTCCTCTTGGTCTGTCTTGGGGTCCTCTGGGGCTGCGTGGGGCCCTCTTGGAGGCCTCTTGGCTTGGGCCGTCTTGGAGCGGCGGGTGTAGTCGACACGTCTGGGGGTGCGACAGGGAGGAGTTCCTTATAAGTAGCATGGATGATGGATGATGATGATGATGATGATGATGATGATGATGATGATGATGATGATGATGATGATGATGATGATGATGATGATGATGATGATGATGATGATGAATGATGATTGATGATGATGATGATGATGATGATGATGATGATGATGATGATGATGATGATGATGATGATGCTGATGATGATGATGATCTGAAGGAGATGATGATGCTGAATGATGATGATGATGATGATGATGATATAATGATATGATGCTGAGATGATGATGATGCTGAAGATGATGGATGTGATGATGATGAGATGAAGATGATGATTGATATGATGAGAGATGAGATGATGATATGTGATGATGAAGATGATGATGTTGATGAATGATGATGATGATATGGAGATGATGATGATGATATGATGATGATGATATGATGATATGAGAGAGGATGCTGATGAGGAGGAGGAGCAGAGCAGAGTAGCCGCAGGACCAGCCGCATCGCCTGGGCCATCAGTGTATCGTTCTTATATGTTCGCCGCGCAGACGCCACGTTTTTCGAGCGTCTCAGGTCCGAACAGTGCGAGCAACATCGGCGATGTGTCACCAGTCCCTGAACGCGCTCAGCCTCAGTCGTTCCAGTGTGTTGCACCATCACGGTGGGATACACAGACTAGATTGTCGGTGAGTTCAATTAGCAGACCACCTGTCCTTCAAACTTGTATTCTTTATAACTCTGTCGACGCCAACCTCAACGCCACCACCTCTACAGCGTATACTAGGCAGACTCATAGCCAACGACGGGCAGCCGGCCCCGCAGCAGCTGCCACAAGAGACTGAGCATCTCCGCCCAGGTGACGATGGCCACGACAGATGATATCACTTGTCTACTGCGATCGCCACGTGGCCTGCACGCGTGTCCCAAGAGGGTAGTGTCTGTCCAGTCCTTCAGAGCAGCGTCATGGAACGCATGGCCTGTCCTCCCCCCGCATTTTCGCTCGTCGGCCCACCTCTCCGCAGCCTTCTCCTGGGCCCCGACCCCGCCAGGAAGCGAGGGACAGCTACCGCGAGGACTCCCACAGGGCGCGGACCCTCCGCCCCCCCCCCCCCCACGTGGCACGCTGCCGGCTGGTCGCTGCGACGGCACTGACGTGAAGTCCGATGCGGAGGTGTTCGCGCCCCTCCCCTGCCCTCCCGGCCCCCTCCCCTCTCCGCGCTTCCCCTCACCCACCTCCCTTCACACTCGAGCGGTATGAGAACAGCTCTCCCTCCCCCCCTGAAGCTGTGCGGAATTTCTCCCGCCCCCTTCGCTGGCTGTTCTCTGTACAGAGGATTTCAGACGTTTTCGTTTTCTTTTTTCTTTTTTTTTCGGATTGGCGCGTTGCTCCCGTCGTTCAACATGGCGCTCTCACCCCAGCGCGGGTAATTTTTCTGCATCCGAGTCTTGCTTCATTGTGGTCCCCCCATCATTCACCTCCTCAGCCTTCCCCTGGTCCTCCTGTTCCTCCCGCTTCTTCCACTCCAGTTCCTGCTGCTGCTGTTTGTCTCGCCCCATCGTGGGCCACTTCAGAGTCCGAGTCTTTATTCATCGTTGTCGCCCTCTCATTTCCCCTCCTCCGTGTTCTCCTGGTCCTCCTTTCCCTCTCGATCCTCCCGCTTCTGTTCCTGCTGCTGCTGTTCGTCCTCGTCCTTTTCCTCCCGTTCATCCTCCTGCTCACCCGCCACCTGGTCCTCCTCCTCCTTCTCCTCCTCCTCCTGTGTACGCAGCTTCCCTGTTTCCGATTGCGCATGACACGGAGTGGTCTTTCTGTGTGCGTCGCAGGTCGGCTATGGCACGCGTCCGCGGATAGAGAAAAGTCAGCGCCGTGGGGGGATGGGAGGGAGGGGCAGGCTGTCAGGCGAGGCGCGAGTGCACCTAGCTTGTCCTCCCGCCTCTCCCGTACCGCCCCTCTTCCTCTCTCTTTCTCCCCTCCCTTCTCCTCCTCTCCTCACCTGGCCCTCCCTCCCTCCTCCTCCTCCTCCTCCTCCTCCTCCTCCTCCTCCTCCTCCTCCCTTCTCCCCCCTCCTCCCCTCCTCCTCCTCTCCTCCTCCTCCTCCTCCTCCTCCTCCTCCTCCTCCTCCTTCCTCTCCTCCCCCCCTCCTCCTTCCTCCTCCTCCTCCTCCTCCTCCTCCTCCTCCTCCTCCTCCTTCCTCCTCTCCTCTCCTCCTCTCCTCCTCCTCCTCCTCCTCCTCCTCCTCCTCCCCCTCCTCCCCCTCCTCCCCCTCCTCCCCCCCTCCTCCCCTCCCCCTCCCCCCTCCCCCTCCCCCTCCCCTCCCCCTCCTCCTCCCCGCGTCCCATCCCTCCGCTCTGCTCCCTTCCCGCCCCAGTGCCTCCGCGCCTGCCCCGGTGCTCCCCCCGCCCCGCCGCTCGGCGAGCGCCCTGCCGCGGATGCCCAGTTGAGCACACCCCTGCGCTGGGGGCCCGACCCGGGCGGCCCGGGGCCTCGCACCCCATTCGGGAACGGCCAAGAGGGGGGCGTAAAACAGGGCTAGGATCGGGATAAATCGCTCCAGAGCGTTCCGGAGCGCTCTCAGAGCGTTCCGGAACGCTCTGGAGCGGCCGCGGCGCCCAATGCATCCTCCAAACCCGCCGATTCTCAGAGATTTCGAGTTATCCCGATCCGATTTTGTCCCGATCTTCGCGTCGATTTAGGGCGGACAGGGGGGTGTGGACACCATGGCGTGGGCCAGGATGTTTCCTCAGATCCCATGGCGCCTCCTCTTGTTTCGTTGCGTCCCCGGCCCCGCCCCTGGCCGCGCCCGTGCCGCCGGCCACGAGTTGCGCCCCCCCCCCCCCCGCTTGGACGCCCCCCTCTTTGGCCGCCCCCGACCCATGGCGGCCGCCGCGGCGGGGCAGCGCCCGCCCGCGGCGGGCGCGCTGCCGACGACCGCCACGGGAGCACCGCCGGGCGAGGCGCGCCCCCCCTGCGGAGGCCCGGAGGTTGGCGCACCAGCAGCGGCACTGGCGGCTGCCGCCACCGAGGGGAGCGGATCCCGATCCCGGTGCCGGGTGCCGAGGCATGCCCGCCAGTCGGGGGCGGCCAAGAGGGGGGTGCTGACAAGGGGGGGGTGGACATCATGGCGTGGGCCATGGTATCTCCTCAGACCTCATGGCGCCCCGTCTTGTTTCATGACGTCCCCGGCTCCTCCCCTGGGCCGCGCACGTGCCGCCGGCCACGATTTGCGCCCGCCCCCTCTTGGACGCCCGTCTCTTGGCCGCCCCCGAACCAGCGCCAGGATCCAGGATCACCTTCCCCCCGATGGGGGCAGGATGAGGGAGGGAGGGAGGGAGGGAGGGAGGGAGGGAGGAGGAGGAGGAGAAGGAGGAGGAGGAGGAGGAGGCTCAACTGAGTTGGTGCCAGATCCGATTTCCAGGCCTCCCCACCCCCACCCCGCCGCGCCCTGTGGCCGCCGCTTGCCGCCGCTCGTTGCTGCCTCCTCCTCCTCCTTTTCCTCCTCATCCTCCTTCTCCTCCCGCTCCTCTTCTTCTTCTTCTTCTTCTTCTTTCTTCTTCTTCTTCTTCTTCTCCTTCTTCTTTTTCTTATACTTTTTCTGCTTTTTTTTTTCTTTTCCTCCTCCTCCTCCTCCTCCATCTCCTTTTTCTTTTTTATGTATTATCTTTTTTTATATTATTTGTTTGTATTTGTTTCTTCTTCTTTGTTTTTTTGACTTATTGTTGTTAGTATTGTTTTTCGTAAGCTTATTATTCTTAGTCTTTAGTCGTAGTCGTAGTTTTAGTCCTCTTCTTCTTCTTCGTCGTCGTCGTCGTCGTCGTCGTCGTCGTCGTCGTCGTCGTTTTTTGTTTTTGTCTATATTGTTCCTCCTCTTCCTCCTCCTCCCACCACCCCCCGCTGCATCTCCCCCTCGTCTCCCCTCCTCTTTCCGCTGCTGCAGCTCCCCCTTCCGCCTTCTCCTTCCATCCTCCTCCTCCTAAGCCTCCTCCTCCTCCTCCTCCGCCTCCTCCTTCCTCCCTCCTCCTCCTCCTCCTCTCCTCCTCCTCCTCCTCCCCTCCTCCTCCTCCTCCTCCTCCTCCTCCTCCTCCTCCTCCTCCTCCTCCTCCTCCTCCGGCGACGACGACCACGACGACGGCTTAGCAAGCGTCTCAGAAGGCCGCGGGCCTCCCGAGCCCTCCCAGAGTGCACGCCCCGCGACGCCGCCCTGCGAGGGCGCAGCTGCGACAGCCGCGACGGCGCACCTCCCCGAGGGCGGAGCGCCTCCGGGAGCCGACGGCGGCGCTCGCCCTCCTCGAGCCTCGAGCCTGCGCGCGCGGCCGCCGGCTGCGCGCCGCCGCCGCCGCCTGCGTGCGCAGTCGCCTGCGCGCCGCCGACCCCGCGCCCGGGGCGCGCCGCCGACCGCGCCGCCGACGGCGCCGACGGCGCCGATGGCGCGCGGGCGGGGCGCCGCCGCCCGGGGCGCCGCCGCCAACGGCGCGCGGCACGCCGCCGGCGCCGCCTGCGCACGGCGGGGCGCCGCGCTCCGCCTGCGGCCACGGGGGCGAGGAGCGAGGCTGCACCTAGGACGGCCTCGAGCACCTCGTGGCCGCGGGCTGCCTCGGCCTCGTGGGGAGGCCCACCGGGCCCGACGGCGTCGTGGCGCCCGTCGCGACGCCGGACGGTCCCGCGGGCGGGGCTGCAGCTGCGGTCTGCAGCGTGCGCGGTGCGGCATGCTCTGAGCTGTGGAAGGAGCGTGTGCGGGGGGGGGCGTCTATACGCGCTCGGGGGATCGAGTGCGGAGCGCAAGCGGGGGCCGGGACGGGCCGCTGGGCGGTGTGGCCCCGGGGCGGGTGCCGATTGGTCAGTTCGGAGTATTCATGCTACAGTGTGGGTCGCTTCAGTGTTGAGCTGCGCCAGCTTGTTGGGCTGAGCCGTGGCTGGGGCTGCGTCCATCGTCCGCCACGTCTGAGTGGCTCGCGGAGCTTGCCTCCTCATTCAGCGACTGCCTGGGCCGAGGAGGCCCCCCCGCGGCAACAACACGAAATCGTGCTCGCTTGCTTATTGCTGCTCGGTGCTGGCAGCCGACTGCTGGTGCTGCTGGGTGCGGGCCTCCGGCTCCTGGTGCTGCTGCTTGGTGTTGGCTTACATAAATTTTTGCTGTCCGCTGCTGTTGGCCACTGGGTTGCTGCTGCATCACCCATCTCCGTCGCACCCCCCTCCGATGCATCTCCCCCCTCGTCCCCCCCTCCTCTTCCCGCTGCTGCAGCTCCCCCTGCCGCTTCCTCCTTCCATCCTCCTGCTCCTCCTCCTCTTCCCGCTCTTCTTCTTCTTCTTCTTATTCCTCTTTTTCTTTTTATATTGTTGTTTCTGATTCTTATTATTATGACTTTTCTTATTGTTCCCTACCTAGGCTCTGCCTAGAAGGGTTCTTACTCTCTGGGCTAAAAGGGGCCGGGCAGTGGAAAGCGCCCCGGGCGGTTCCCCCAGTATCCGCCCCGCGGTTCCCCCAGTTATGTCCCCTTAGCTTAGCGTTGCTTATCTCATCTTAGCTTAGCTTATTTCATCTTAGCTTAACCTAGCTTCATCTTAGCTCAGGTTTATCATAGCTTAGCTTACCTTCATCTGAGCTTCGCTGAGCTTTCGCATAGCAGAGCACAGCATAGCATACCATAGCGTAGCATAACATAGCGCAACACAGCATACCATAGCATAGCCCAGCATAGCATGGCACAGCGCAGCATAGCATAGCATAGCAGAGCATAGCGCAGCATAGCATAGCATAGCATAGCATAGCATAGCATAGCATAGCATAGCATAGCATATCATATCATAGCTTATCATAGCACAGCGCAGTATGACATTTCATAGCTTAGCATATCATTTCGTATCATAGCGCATCATATCATAGCATAACATAACACAACATATCATATCATAACATATCATATCATAGCCTAGTGCAGCATAGCATGGCATAACATGGCATAGCATAGCATAGCATAGCATAGCATAGCATAGCATAGCAACTAATGCTGCTTTCCTAGGGGCTCCAACTTCTAGGTAGGGCCGCACTGGGGTAATTCTTTCTATTCTTCTTATTCCTTCTCCTCTTCCCCCTCCTCCTCCTCCTCCTCTTCACCTCCTCCTCCTCCTCCTCCTCCTCCTCCTCCTCCTCCTCCTCCCCCTCCTCCTCCTCCTCCTCCTCCTCCTCCTCCTCCTCCTCCTCCTCCTCCTCCTCCTCCTCCTCCTCC